CTTCAGAGACTATTACCCACTGGTTACACAAAGAAGCCAAGGAAACAACCCCTGAAATTTTACAACTCAAGAACACAGATTTCTTATCCACAAAGATAATAGATCTGGAAAGAAAATAGGAGGAGTAGGTTGATAAATCAAATAAAAGAGAGTATCAAAGTTAAATCGCGGAAGCAAAATAGGTATACAAGAGCTTAAAACTCTGATACCATGAAAGAAAGTGAAGCTTTGAGATTGAAGAACAAGAGAGAGATGAGAGAAAAGAGTAAAGAAGGAGAAACTTTTTCCTTAGATCTCAAAAATAACGTTACCAAGAGTTATAAAGAGATAGAGTATTCTTATTTTAGTAACCAAACACACTTGGCTTACTAGAGAAGCTAGAATAAATAACTAATTTATTTATTTAATTTAATAAAATGACTACAGCTCAACTTCAAAGAACCGAAGGTGAGTGTAGCTGGAAAGCAATGAGTTGAAAGAAGAAGTCTCAAGTAAAGGTGGAACATATGGTGGACAAGGCAAAGCTCTAGGAGATTAAGGCTGGTAAAAAAGTGAGTCTCGGGGCATGGCTTAGAGATATGCATGGATGGGGGTGCAGATTTTGGTGGACATTCTGCTGTGAGGATTTAGGATTCTAATTGTTGTTGCGACTTGCGAGTAGGAGGGATGCATGTGGTACTATACGTCACCTTGAATGATATACTTCTCAATATCTTCATCTCTGGAAGTAAAAAATAATGAGAAAACAAAAAATGAGATTTATAAACATTTTAGGAACCAGACCCTTTTTTTTTGCTAAAACTTAAATACATAAAACTTTATAAAATAAAGAAAAATATAAATTAGATGAGGAAATGTTTCATTAATTTTAGTTTGGAGCCTTGTTGTTTCTAATTCTAAATCTGTTGAAATGTGACAAATCTTCTGATTTATGTTATTGTATGATAATTAATACATCGAGCAAGTCATAAAATCACGTCACATTACACATACTAATACTGTGATTCACATGCATATCACTATATGCTCCAATCAATCATGCAACCTTTTGGCAAAAAATAATATCCAAGCGAACCACATAAATTCATTATATGTTTTCTATTTAATAAGCAAATTTAAATTAAAATATTAAATAAATAATTTGATTCTTTATTATAAAATATTGAGACATAAAAATTGTTGAAAAGATTTTGATTGTATAACACCAAAATTTACTTGACCCAATTTCCTTAACAAATTGGTTTAGTTAATGAATTAATTAATTTATGAACTGAAAACATTCTCTGTATTTTAGAAAGCTGTAATGACCTAGTTTGCTTAACCAAATAGTTTATTTAATAAATTAGTTTGTTAAACCATCTATTTTTTTTTTAACGGTGTGTCGTGAGTAAGTGCATATATAAATAATTATTATTACTTTTCTGGTCAAGACATACCTAATCAGGGGCGGAGCTACATGGTGAGGAGGGGGGTCAGCTGACCCCAGTAAAATATGAAAAACAAGAGTTTCAGGCTTAGACACGTGAGTGACAGTAGCTCAGCTGGACGAAATCCTTTGATCTGACCCCCTTTACTCAGGTTTCGATTCCCCTCTCTGCACCCTTTTTTATATTTAATTTACTTTCTTCTTTAAATAATTTGGGCTTAAAAGCTCAATTTCACAATGAACATATAAGTTCAACCAGTTTTTCCTATTGCTTTTATATGTTTTTACATGTTTCTATATGTTTTTTTTTTCATTCTCATTGTTATATGTTTTTTTTTTCATTCTCATTGTTTTGGATCTTTTAAAGTATTTCTTATAGAGAATATATTTCTCCTGTAACATATTTATTCTTTCAGTTATTTTGCAATCTATTTAGTTCGTTTTCTACTTTAATACTATACTTTTTGCTTCAAATATAATTTTCCTAAAAATTAAAACAGCTTAATAGTTAATGCTACAAAATACTTAAATTAATATAACTAAATTATATTTCTACATATTTTTAATTTAATTAATTTAAATGATGACCCCGGTAAAATTATTTTCTGGCTCCGCCACTGTACCTAATTATTTATAATTTCTTTCAAAAGAAATCAACAACGTCATTGTCATCATCTTCCTCTCTAAATCATCTAGTTTTTCTCCAGAAAAAATTATATTTGAATATGTTGTAGTGTACTTGTATTCCGAATCAACAAGCTCTCACATTCTTCGGATTCCATAATTTTTTCAACCAACCTCCTTCCCCACCATCAACAACCTTCTTGCTCTTCTCTTCCTCATCTCTAGAAGCGTTTAGACTCCTAAGTGGAAGCAGCAGCTGCTTCTTGCCACCACCACTCCTAGGCGAAGAAGCTTCCACAATCTTTGTAACCATCTCCACAACCTCACTCATCTTTGGACGTGCCTTCGGGTTCCTAGCAAGGCAAAGGTTGGCTACAACTGCTAGTCTCTGGATTGGTTTGATCAAGTATTTGCCTTCAAGCCTCGGGTCTATTATGAGCCTAAACTTCTTTGTGTCAGTTAAGTAAGGTCTCACCCATTCAAGAAGCTTCTGCTCTCCTTTGGGTCTGTTCTTGTCTAGCGGTCTCCTTCCTGTAATGAGCTCGTAGATGAAAACTCCGTAGCCCCACACGTCGCTTTTTGATGTGAGACGACCTGTTTGGATGTATTCTGGAGCTGCGTAACCCATTGTTCCAACTACCTGATAACCCCGTTAAAAAAAAAAACACAACTTAATGATTTGTATTTAACCAAATGAAGTGTGAAATGTACAAAGAGACTTACACCAGTAGAAACATGAGTTGATCCAGGTTCAGGACCTAAACGAGCCAACCCGAAATCCGAAAGCTTTGCTTTCCAGTCCTCGTCTAATAGAATGTTTGAGGACTTGAAATCACGGAATATGATCTACAAAATCAAAACAAGTTTATAGTTTAACAACCGATGTAAAGAAAAGAAACAGAGGAGTTCATGACTTCATGTTTCTTACTTGGGAAGTCCATTTCTTCGTGGAGGTATGTTAAACCCCGAGCTGCGTCTTGTGCTATTCTCAGTCTTAGATCCCAAGTAAGTACAGTGGGTGAACGTGGAGCTAAGTGGAACTCAACGCTTTGGTCCGGCATATATTCATAAACCAAGAGTCTTTGGATTCCACGTTCATCATCTTCTGCACAATGACCCAACAGTTTCACCAAGTTTGGATGCTCCACTACCCCTAGAAAATTCACTTCCGTCACCCACTCTTTATGACCCTGCAACCCTCTCTTGCCAAGCTGTTTCACTGCAACTTCGATTTTCTTGGAAGGGTCATCTAAGCTCTTGATAGCTCCCCAGTAGACACAACCAAAACCGCCTTCCCCAATCATAACAGAGCGGCTGAAGTTCTTTGTAGCGGATTTGAGATCAGTAACGGTGAACTCTCTGAGGTTGTTTTCTCTAACGGGCAAGGAGTTGGAGTTCCTCCCAGTGGATGAAGAAACAGTGCTGGTTCCAGAGCCATCATGGGGACTGAATAATCCAGTAGCACGGTCAGAGAGTGGTGAGAGAGGTTTAGGGCTCTTATGTTCATCTTTCTTGTTGTCACCGTGAGTAATCAAAAGGGAGACTATCAAAGTTGATCAGAGCTATATAGAGAGTGAAAAAGTGAGTCATTAAGAAAGAATCCAATCACTTAAAGGTCTTTGCAGCAAATCTTGGGACGGGAGCACTAAGATTGTTGTATGATAAATCACTGTAGACAAATAAAACATCTAAAATCTTAACAATATATACATGTCTTTAATGGTGTCATGGTTACTGGTTAATGTAAACTGAAGATTGATTTAGGCTTACAGTAAGGCAAGCTGAGTCATGTTGGATAGTGACAGAGGAATTTTCCAGAGAGAGAGTTGTTGTTAAGTCTCCTGAAGATACACAATACAACATATCAAGATCATAAACTTCCTTTAAAACAATACAATTTTAAGGATACATTAACAATTTTTTTAATTTTATTCTTACATCTATTGCAAGCTTCATAGACAGTCTAGTGAAAAAGGAATGTCACCGTGGAAGAAGTTGTCAGAGAGATAAAGAGTCCCAAGCCTTGTACGAGCTTAACAGAAACTTCATCTCCAGATTGTACATTCACCCCTAAACCAAAGAAATTTTTTTTTTTTTTTTGGTAAAATATCCAAAGACAAATTCACAAGAAGGAAACAAAGGTTAGAGAAAAGCAAAGACAAATAAAGTAACAAAGAGATAGAAAAAGAAGAACGATACCTAGAAAGATTTCACCAAAAGGATCCACTTCCAAGCTTTGACCAAGCTTGAACTTCCCACCAACCAATGGATCCATATTTTTTGTTTTTTACAAATCTCCAATGAAAAAGTGTTTTTTTTCCTAATTCTGTGTATCTAACTCCAGTTCAATTCAATTCAATGAAGAAGAAGAATTAGTGCTCTAAGTAATCTCTTTAATCTCCAATCGAATTGATGAATGAATTAAAATAACTCCTAAAGGATTCTACTTTACAAAACCTAGCTACTCCTACAACCAATCTGAAATCACCCAAAAAAACCTTACTGCATCATTAGATACACTAGATCCTACAGTAAAACCTAGCTACTCCTACAACTCAATGACAACAGAAAACCTTACTGCATCATTAGATACACTAGATCATTTTTCCATGCTACGCACGGATAATATATTTAAATTTGTTATATTTATTATTTTTATTTGTATATGAATGTTTGTATATTAAATTATTTTTAACTAATTTTTAAATTTGATTTTTTTATATTTTCAGTTTGAAGTAAGTATTTGAACATAATTAATTGGAATTAATGGATAATTTAATTATATAATTATCTTTAATATACCATGAAACTTATACTATTGTCAAATATGTTTCTATCATATGTAACACAATTAACTAATAATATATGAAGAATCAAGTTTGAGATTCTAGAGTTTTGTAAAAACTATTATTATGTATAGAACATAAGTTATCTTAGTTTAAAAGATCAAATCTCATCTCGAATAATTCACGAAAAGAAAACTCCTCCAATAACCTACTTAAAATACAAAACCCCATTTTTAAAAAAACGTACTTAATAGTATTTTGACGTGTAATAGTTGAAAATTAATAATTAAATATCAATCTATAATATTATTTTAATATATTTAATGGTAAAATATTTGTAATAAACAAATTTTGAATTTTTTAATATTACATGAATTTGAAGTCTTTAAAATCTAAATCCATTTTATTAACATAATATATTTTTATTCCTTTATTTTTCGACGTTATAAAATATTTCTTTAGTCTTTTGTATATTATTTTGTTAATAATTTAGTTTATATAAAGTAATTTTAAAATTATCAAGAATATAATATATTTAAAATTATTTATTTAAATATATCTAAATATGATGTCTCATTTTTATCCGTGTTTGCGTTGAGCATATTTAATTTGTAGTTTGTATAGTTAATAACACCTTGTTGCATGCCGTTCTATGGTTTTAATAAATGTGTTGTCATTTCAATTTTATTACTACGAACATGATTTTTAGTGATCAGTGATAGTGTACTTTTAAAAATTATGTATTATATTTTATCGTATATTTATATTTTTGATTTTCCAATCTTCATGTTGTCATTTATATTAGAATCATTTTAATTTGGTAATAGTTTTAAAGATGTAAATAAAATTGTGTATGCTGTAAATTTATACTTTTTAGTTAACTGAGCACTATCAATTATAAAAATTATATTATGATTTTATTTTACTAAATATTTCTTTCTGTGTATATTTTGTTTTATTTCGTATTTTTACAATTTTATTGTCTTATTCTTTAATTATAAAGAATTGCTATTTCCAGTTTTTGTACCTTGATTCTACCTTTTCTTTTTGATTATTTAAAGGATCTGTTATTTGTTAGTAGTGTATATGATATTTATATGGTTTACTATTTAGCTATAAGGAAAAAGGTATCATAAAAATATTAGTGTGACTGAAAATATTTATCACAAATATACAATATATTTTATGATATAAAATTTTAGTTATTCTTGAATCTATGAAAATTTTATTTGCAAATAAGTTGTATGTTTCTGCTTCTAAAGCCACAATATTTTCTCATGGCTGCATATGCAATTTCCTAACATAATTGAGCTCTTTCCCAAGTTACCAAATTTGTTTAGATATATTAAGTTACTGGCTAAGGGTAATACAATGGGACAATTGGTTGGATCGTAGCTGTAGAATTTTACTGTAAAATTTAGTCTTTAGTATTTTTTTGATGTAGTTAAATCTAATGTAGTTGTAAAGATTAAATGTAAAAAAAATTCAAAAGAAAGAAAGATATTTCTATAACAATATTTTTTGCTTTATAAAATAGGTCTCCTATAGCCATTTTTTATTTTTTTGTTGTTTTACATTTAGAAACTACTTAAACTATGATTAGCAATTTATATGGTTGTAGATAAAAAAATAAAGCTAAAACACTAATGTTATAAAGGTTATAAAGTTTTTTGTTTATCATCATTTATAAAGTTTTAATGTCATCTATTTTAAACACCAATTTTGAGTATAAACAATTTAGTTACATAATTTCATTTGGTGCTAATTATATGGTATTCGATTATTTTGATAAATAGAGTGAAATGTTTTGAATGATTTAAAATATTATGTTTATAATATCATCAATTTATACTTTTATATACTTGTTTAGATGTAAACATAGTTGAAATTTACTCATTTTATTATTTTAATTTTAATCAAGAGAATTCAATTTTTTCTGTATTTAATACTTTTAAAAATTTCCCGCTATTGGATGTTTATATTAAATATTTTGTTTTAAAACATATGATCTAACTTTGATATTATTCATTTGAAGAACAGGTAGCCATCATCTCATGTACATTTTTTTATAAATGTATAAATATTTTGAATATTTAATTTGTAATTCTTTTAAAATTTTTATTTACCGAAATAAAGGCTACTGTTCAAAGGTTTAGTAAAATATAATACCAATATAAAGTAATACATATTAGAGAAGAGGTACGATTAGCTTTTCCTTCTCTGTCTTTATATGTCTGTCAGTAAAACCATATTTTACATGCGTCAGTGTTCTTCTAAAAAAACTCTGATGCTCTGGGTTTGAACAATTTTTATTACTCTTTTCACTCTGCTGTTTCCCCTTTGAGCTGGATGACAAAAGCAGAAATACTTGATATGAAATAAAAAGATACCAATGGAGAAGTTTTCCCTTTTTTGGAATGCTCAACTCAGTGGCCCTCTCCACCAGACTCGCCCATCCATTGCCACTCTTCCTTAACTTTATAGCCATTGCAATGACCTTTTAATATTGTAGAATTTAAGCTCAGAGAAGATAAAAGCGAGGACACAGCCTGAGTGGTAATCTGTAGTAATTCTTTGCTTCCCGGAAGTTGTAAGACGCATTAAACAGTATCGTTTTCAGAGATAAAAAATGTTGGCTTATAGAATTTACAGGGTGAACATCATAAAGAATTTACAACTTTTTCACAAAAAAGACACCACTCTCAGCTTCCAAACTACAATGAAAGAAGCACATATAATATTTATAACATTTAATTTTCTCTCTATATATATAGTAAATCTTTTCTTATACCCCAAGGTTCTGATGCACTCACCTGTCTCAGGGTGGAACAATACGAGAAGTGGTTGGTGTTAAAAGAGTTTAAAAGAGGCATTGGTTTGTCAACAATTGTAATAAATTGTATTGGCGTGGACGCTTCCTCTGTTGTCTGGTCACCACTGTTCCTCCCGTTTCGAACTTAAAACTTTCCGACTGTTAAAGCAGAAATCAGCGAATTACCACTAATCGTTCTTTGTAGTGAAATAAAATATTTTTTTTTGTAGTGAAATAAAATATGATTGTACCTGAAACGGACATGTTTGAAGTCTCTACAACAGCGGGCTAAGGCTGTAAGACAACGTAGACACCAAGCTAATCATGTTCATCCATTCCTTGTCGTTATGTACATTAACTGATGCTTTACCATTTCCAAATACATTTGTAATGGTCCTATTAGAAAACATCGGTAATTTGCACAATGTACTCGGGTGCTTGACCATTTGGTCAGTGTAAGATATTAAAAGGATCAACACGATCAGGGCAGGACACTTAAATATTAAGAGACGGAGGAGACTTTACAGTTCGAGATAATCCAAATGGTAATCTTTCAGCCATGCCCCACAGCTGCATATTTTCGTTAATGTTTATAATCCAGTCATAAGAAAAAATTGTAATCGCATAAACCATATTACTATTTCTTTAGCTATGAAATTACTTTAGTGGTAAGTGACTGGATCACTTCTTTTGCTGCCACGCATCTTGTCGTTTGTTGGCTAGCGATTGGAAACGCCTCTTTGAGCTGCCTGGTTGTTCTTTCCCACTCAAATTCTTGGAACTGGACCTTCCTTGTAAGAATGGTGTCCATAAGCAAACACCAAAGGAATATCTAACGACTTCTTCACCAAGGGAGTCTTCTCCATCCATTGGACTCTGTAAATATAAGTCCCTTAGAGCATGACAAAATAAACAGGAGCGTGATGAGTAGATAACACCAGAATTCTCATTACATGTTTGTCAAGAGGGTTAACTACACCAGTGGAATTCCTACACAATCTTATTTACCTCCAAGAACACATATTTTACACCCTTCACCTACTTCATCCTCTACTCTTTGCAGAAAACATCAAACAACCAAGTGTAATATATTTCAGTTTAGACATTCACAATTGCATACCATAAACAGCCAAGCAAAATATAAAAAGAAAAAAAAAATAAAGCAATCAGTGATACTACAAAATTAAAATGCAGTGCTAGTACAACAAACTTTTTTTATCAGCAATTCACCTAGTCAATGAAATCTGGATTCATAACTCCTCAACTTTCTTTAAATATACTTTACAAACATATTCACTTGAATTGCAAAAATCATGCTCTTCCTACAATGACGAACAACATAGGTCACATGAAAACAAGATTCAAAATTTAAAACAAAAAGATCATCGACTATTTGAAACACAAGTTTAATTGCTTCATGATCCCCGACGCTGACCAAGAGGATTGATAGATGAAGCTGACTGCAGACAATAACTCAAGTCATAGAATCAGCCACAAGCAGAGATATATTCAACGGAAACTAAGTGAAAAGATCATACAATACTCCTACCTCGCTTGCAATATATTTGTTCTGGCCCTGTAAAAGTCGTCTCCATCGGTTTGTTATTGGTGGTCGAAAGAAGTAATTTTTAAGAGATTTGATAATTGGAAATTTGAGACAAAATTTATGGAGAGAAA